ACCATGCGTGACATTACGGTACCGTGCATAACGCAGTGAAACACATTGGGACGACTTTGAATTCCTGTATTTACTCGAAACAAAATCCTTAAATGTAAACATAACCTATTTTTACTACATTATGGGAGTGTTGACTCTTGCAGGCCGCTTGCGTAAAGGCACAATATTTTCGCCCGAAATGGATGCAAAGGACTTTGTTTCGACTAAAAACCTTTCGCGGGCGACAATAAACGGCACCGTGTGCTGTCAGTTGGACAACCCAATTGTAGAACCTGTCAAAAACTTGGTCTCCTGTGCTGAACGGACCATGGAAGACGCCGCTGGGCTGCGAGGCGTGGCCTCCATCCGGCCATGCGAAACGAAGCGAAGCAAGGCGACGGGGCTGCGCCGACCACAGCGCTTCTCCCGGGGCGCCGCCCCTCCCACTCTCCCCCACTGGAAACCTGAAAAACCGGGAAAAATCAGGGAGTTTCTAGGAGAATCGTTGTAAATCAGGGAAAATTGGGACACTATTTTATACCTAGATATTATTCCTTGAAAAAATAATTCAGTAAAAAATTGTCAACATTTTTTTATTTTTTGAGTTTTTTTTTAAATTACTCTATTACAGTGAAATCACAATTCTGACGAATTAGTATCAAGCTGTCCTTACTATTTTATTTCTACACGTACGGTCGACTCCTGTTTATACCTATTTATACCTGCCTCCGATTTATACGTAGATATTATTCCTTTAAAAAATAATTCAGTAAAAAATTGTCAACATTTTTATTTTTTCGAGTTTTAAAAAAAAATTACTCTATTACAGTGAAATCACAATTCTGACAAATTAGTATCAAGCTGTCCTTACTATTTTATTTCTACACGTACGGTCGACTCCGGTTATAGTGAACTCTCGGTTATAGAGAACTTTAGTCTCTGGTCCAGTTTCACCTACATTACAAATAAGCACAAGAAGATTCGAATATAGTGGATTCTTAACCTCGGCTATAGTGAACGTAGGAATTAGAACATCCTGGCAAAAAAAAATGTATCTCATTAGTGCCATAAATTCCAAAACTAGGCAACTTGGAGAAAATATTGTCGCCCAAAGATCATAATCGAACAGGTCTCCCTTAAGGTGGAGGTAGCGGGCTCAGAATGGGGACCTTACTAATGATCTTGTGCCACTCGGTTTCACCGCGGAAACGAAGGTCGTGTCCTGCTCGGACTACACTGGCGGCCGCGACGCGCGACTGCTTCAGTTTCAAGCTTGATGTTACTTGAGATTCCGCGCGTCGAAGGCGTGCTGTTCTACGTCGGCGATAGGAAGCGCGCGGCTGCCACAAACCTACAGCCAGGCGAAGGCGACACCCACCGCGCGAAAACCCGGTCAGTTTCATTAGTCGCTTGGGCCATGCCCCTACCGAAAGCATCTCGCTTGTTACTAAGCGAGAAAAAGGATCTTCGGAGAGTTGGAAGGTGTTCCAACATTGCAAGAGTTATTCGGTTTAGGGTGTCAAGGTTAGATTACGATACTTATGGACACTGGAAATATAGAGTCAAGTATGGAGAGCACGAATTATGGAGAAGGATCTAGAGAAATTACTAATGAAAAATGTATGAAGCAAACAACTCAAAATAATTGTTTTTTTAATGTTAAATATATATTTCAGTTCATACTGATAATGTATTTCGCTAAATCTCTGTATTATTAAAATTAATCATTCTATTTAATTTCGAGATATAGTTAACCAATTAGTTTGTTAGTCTAAAAATTCACTATAATCCTAGCGACTGTAGTGAGGAATACACTACAATTCCTATCAGTGGAAAAAATGCTCTAGAAAACTCAGGAAAATTTGTTCCAGAAAATGAGTGACCCCTCTGTTGAAAGTCCCACTTTGGTATTGTGACGTCCGTCCCACTCGGGCTGTCTCAGTACGTCTTTACTTCACACTGCTTGTGAATGCGCGCAGTTCTCACGTTTGTGCCGTCCCGCCTTCAATCAAGCATTCATTCTCAGAAACTGAATGCATTCTCTTCACGAAATAACTTTCCGACCTTTAATGAATTATTATCTTTCTATTCCTGTATGGTAATCTGCTCAAGGCGACCAAATGGAGGTCAATCATTTGCTCTTGACAGTGCAATAAAAAATTATTGGACGGGGTCTCTTGTAATGCTCGCGCTTCAAGACATTGCAAAGCTTTTTTTTTTCCTTGAATGGCATGGGCGTCCGGTTGGGAATGGTTAGATGTGTATGAAAAGTTCTGGTGCGAATCTTGTTCGTAGAAATCCTTTGATTTTTTCCAGTTTCTAACAAAGTAACACAATTGCTGATGCATTTTGAAGGTGCACATGCCTATCGAAATACACGAAACGTTTGAACAATTTAAAATAACCATAGCTTAACATGTTACATCGATTGTAATTCGTTTATGAAGTTTTTGTTAATGTAATTAAATATTGGACTAACTGATTTCGCGGTAGTGCATAGTTTTCTGCTGAATAGATTGTGCGCAAATGCAGAAATACTCTAAAAAGGTCAACTTTTATTGCACTACTGCTTTGTAGATCAGTATTTTCTGGGTTGTTGAAATGCAGTCTCATCAGATAATATTGAAATGTTTGGTTCGACGCTTTTGTAAATGAGCTTATTCTCTGAACAATGGCATTTTTAATTGAAAAAAGAAGTATTCGCTTCCATTTCTATTCATTGTTTCTGGTCCCATCCCTTATCGAGAGTAATAGACCCCGACGTAATATCGGTGAACGGAACCAAAAAACGAGTGGCTGAAACAAAAGCATTCTGTTTCATAATTTAAAGGAGAAAAGAGATTTTTAATTAATTTTTAAAAAGTATTTTGTTGTAAAATCCGTTAGAAATTGGATAGGCTGACAATGTTTTATATTAATCGCATTGGCCGGAGACTCGTCACAAACTTCGTAGCGATGCGTCAGGTGTCATAATAAAAGTATCAGGCAAAAAGGTACTTTGGAATAAAATGCTTTGGATAGACCAAAGGATGTTTATGTTAATCGCGTAGGTGGAAGATCAAAGCCTCGTCATGAAATTAGATACGCGCCTTAAATGTTTGAGGTTATAAATACCACGTCATTCTGCTGGCGGGTCCGTATTTTCGTTCATGATCTTGCTGAAGTGAGCCCATTCCCTCTTGTTCGTTACAATAAGGCAAGAAGAGCCATAGTTTCTTTTCGTTTAAGAAAACTAAATTGTGTTCGAAACGGGGTGTAAGTGTAATATGTGCTGTTATATCTTGATAAAGAACATAATGCCTGAAAATATATTTTCGAAATCGTAACAATTACATGACAAAAGAAACGAAAAGACCTTATACCTAATCAGATTCGTCTCCCATTGTGTTTTACTGAATAAATGGGATAGATTTAGAATGAAAACAAGCAAATCGTGAATATAGGATGACTATGATAAAAAATTCTATCTTTAAACATTTACTGTTAAAATTTATTTTATGAGATCTGGAGAGTTCTTAACTTCAGCAGTTGTGTTGAATTATCATTTGGAGGCAAATGAAAAATAGATTTTATGTCTGTTTTTGTTTGGAATTTATCTTATCTCGCTCAAGTCTTGTATATTTCATATCTAGAAGTAATACATCCAGAGAATAGTAGGAGTATGTTCAGTTTAAAAGATTGTTTTTATGATCGAAACTTTTTTGAAGACTGACAACTTAAAATTGTAATTTTACCGTACTTGAACTATTTAAAAAACTGATTTATCACTATTTAACGTCTTCCAGAATTCTTCACTGCCCTGTCACTCTGAATCCACTCCTGACTCATTATTGAACAGTTGCAATTTTTGGGTTTCCTTAAGGAATCGATGAAAGTTTAAAGTGTCAGTGATGATCAAGGGGTCGATAGTCGAATATCCTCCTCCGACTGATTGTAATAATCAAGAGATTTTATTTATTACTAAAAATATAATTGAAGTTATTAATCGTTTTCTTGTATAAAGCTTCAAACTGATTGTAATAATCAAGAGATTTTATTTATTACTAAAAATATAATTCAAGTTGATAAATAATCGTTTTCTTGTATAAAGCTTCAAAACATTAATTATAAATTACAAATTTGCTCATTTTTTGAAATTTCACATTTCCATTTACGAAACTGAAGTTTTGTGCAATTACAATCTCTGATTTTCTTTCTCAAAATTTGTTTATATTTCTAAATTTAAAAGTAATAATGGTAGAAAAAGAATAAAACAAACCTAAAAGCATAATTTTTCTTCAAATAATTCGTTCATATTCTTTGTCCATTTTACACTTAAGTTATTTAAACACTTAAGTTATTTGCGATTACGTGCAATTATGTGCAAGTAGTTGTGTTATAATTACATATATTTTCGCTAAAATTGAATTGTTCTTCGGCGTCTCCATACTTTCAAAAGGGGTCAATGCAAGAAAATGTGTATAGCTAAATCGTTGGTTTAGAGATAAAATAACAATAAATCTCAAAAATTAACTGACGTACTGGAGATCTCTGAAATTTCACTACTAAAGACGCTAAGTAACTTTTTTCTTAAACTACTCTATTTTATCAGCCCAAGTGATTTAAGGCGTATTATGTTTTGAGGACCCATTCACTTTCTGGAGTTTACGACGCCGTTGCAGAAAGGATCCCGCGATAAACGCCGTGCTCGTCGACCACGAACCTCGACGAGCCTTCACTCGCGCACAACTCTTCGATTGACGCAACGCTCGCGAATCGAGCTTGGGCACTTACCGCGCGGACGACGTGCGGTCGCAGGATCTGCAGTCGCGTGCCGACGCGGGAGGCGAAAGTGCACGCAACCCACCTGTTAGTTCCACGACACGCGAGTCGCCCGCGCCCGCGCCCACGACACGGATCACCGGCGCGTGGAGAAGCGGCGCCGAGGAGGAAAACGACGGAGACGGCGACGGCGACTGTGCGAGACGCGAAAGTCGATCCTAGCGCGATTCACGCGCGGCAGACAGGCTAGCCAGCCAGCCAGCTAGCGCCGCGCTCCGGCAGTTGCCCGTCGCGCCGGCCGCACTCCCGTTGTGCGTTTAGTGAGGTTTAGTGCCTCGCGGCAAAGTCGGAAACGTGCGGTGTGCCATGGTGGACCGTTGGATGGGTGTTCAAATTTTACGGTTTACGTTATGTGATTTGTGGTTGTGTGACAACTTGTGGTTCTGTGGAGGAGGAGTAGGTTGTTGTAATGGATTCTCAGAATAACAGGTACATAATTATTTACTCCTTGAAATTTACCCCGTTTTGCGATGTTTATATGCTTTGGTGGACTTGTTATTGATCGTTTGTGATTCGACATTACATATTTCTTTATAATGCGCTTAACCTCTTCAGCAAATCAAAGATCTTGTAACTCGTTGATATTCATGCATACAAATTTGTAGAAATTGGTTTCCAACCATATTACATAAATTAGGTGAAGATACAATCATCATACGTTTTGGTGTAACGATGCCAAAACGCGGATGCTTGGTCAGTCATCCGCAGAGACCACATTCAGTTGTCGGTGAAGGCGTAATTTTCAAAGGTTAACTCTTTTGTAAACCCGACTCGCTTATTTAAGTAATATGAATGACAATAATGAAATGTCTTCAGAAAGATGAAAATATTAGAATGTAGCTATCATTTATACAAATGTAGCCTGAATTAAACAAGGAAAAAGTTTGTCACTATTATTACATTGCTCTACACCTATTCAATACACATTGCAATGCTGTCTGCCTCCCGCGCGAATAAAAAGTGAATTGAATTAAACTTTTGTGAAATGTTATTTATGTGCATTCTAGTGTACCCAAAGTAAAATGTGAGATATTTATGGTATTATGAAACATTGCTATTACAACGCAAGTTGAACGTGGAATGAAATGCGGGGACTTCGCGCTAGGAATGCGACATTAATGTCGGTTTTCGAAATTACGAGGATTTTATAAAATCTTGGATAGATTTAACATCGATATTTTGTAGCCGATGCTTCAAGAGAATGATATTTTATTTTTTAAAGGATAACGTTCCTCAAAGTATACATCTGTGACAATAATATATTAATAGCTTTAATAATAAAAATGCATAAATTGAACATTCTTCAGATTAGTGTGGTCAATAATGATGAATAACTAAAATAGTTTTCGTCTGTCAATGAAGCCTATAGAATTTTTTAATTGTCACATCACTTAATAAGGTCAATAATGAACGTGGCCACCGTCAAATTAAATTCCCCATCCTCATGCAAACATGAATGCAGATTTAAAAATATAGAAGGTTTTAGAGCGGTGTTTTATTAGCGGTTATTTATTTTTTAATATCGATGTTTCGTTGGCAATGTCGCAGTCCTACGTCGCGCAGAGGCGACTCCGCAAAGGCGGGTGATCGCCCCTGGCTGAATTGCCTTGATTTGTACTGTGCGCTGGAGGGGAAGGGCCGGGGAGGTCGCGGGTGACGGATGACCGCGTGCCGGCGTCGCGTAGCCCAGCCTCATGACATGCACTATGTGATCAAAAGTATCCGGAACTGAAAATGACTTTCCAGTTCGTGGTGCCCTCCATCGGTAATGCTGGAATTCAATAGGATGTGTTGGCCCACCCTTAGCCTTGATGACGGCTTCCACTCTCGCAGGCATACTTTCAAACAGGTGCTGGAAGGTTTCTTGGGGAATGGCAGCCATGGAGTGCTGCACTGAGGAACAGCTATCGATGACGGTGAGGCCTGGCACGAAGTCTATGTTCGATAGGATTCAGGGCTGTGCTAGTCAGTCCATTACAGGGATGTTATTGTCCTGTAACCACTCCGCCACAGGCCGTGCGTAATAAACAAGTGCTCGGTCGTGTTGAAAGATGAAATCGCCATCCCCGCACTGCTCTTCCACAGTGGGAAGGGGTATTTAAGGCAACGTAGGCCTGTGTCGTGAGAGTGCCAAAGAAAACAAGAGGTGCAAGCCCCCTCAATGTAAAATACGACCACACCAGGACACCATGTTGGACGTGTCCAGATACTTTTGATTACATAGTGTAGCTGCGACCACCAATGGAACACTGTATCTAGCGTCAGGGCAAGATTACCACCACGCTAGTTCACGTATCCTTTCCGTGTGTAAAGTCATTATTGTGCTGTAGTACCGGCACAACTGGAAAATGCAAATATATCGAGAAAATGTTTGTATGACTGTAAGCAATATCAAACAGTCCACGTTAATGAAGTTATAATAAGACAATTAAGAGCGTATCTCTAGTCCTGGGAAGGAGCGTTAGAAAATAATTTAAACAGAATGCCCTAGGGCGGAACTTTTGTTTTATTTGGCGAGATATGAAGATTTGCATCCATTGCAGTACCCGAGCTTTAGGCATTGGAGGTATTTTTGCGTTTATTAAGGCCGACTATGTTTAATTTAAAGAATGAATCTTTTGGAAAGGAGGGCGAATAAACTTCCCGTGTTTATTTAAGTTCCTTATAAGGGATCTAGATTCTGACGGGTAAAAATCCTCATTCTTTTCACTGTGAGCATTGTTTCTTAGAAGGAAGTTATTGTGTGATAAAAAATACCGCCTCGCAAGCCCATTTAATCCTCCCATACGTCTTCATAACGGTAAAAATGTATTAGGCGCCCGTTTGGGGGCAGCGCAATCGCGAAGTTTTGTTACTTACACGGTAATAAATTCTTACTTTACGCGGCTGGGGGAGGCCGCGCAGTATTTTCAAATTCGCAGGGTGGCCTCGGGAGCGACTTCGCCTCCCCTCGCTCTCGCACTGGCTGTCTTCCCTGCCCTGCCCTCACCTTCGCTGCAGCCACGCTGCGCCGCCCGCCGCCAGCATTGCACTGGAGATAACGGCGCCGCTCCATATTGCTACTGTCTCCATCACGATAGCCCGGCATCGGCCCGGCATCGCTCCAGGAATTGCCTTTTAATTTCTGATGAATACTTCTAGAATGTCACTCATTCAGATTTCAGTGTTTTCTGCAGAAACTTTATTCTCACTAATCGTCTTGCTCGACGGATTATGTGAATTATATAATTTCTCAAATGAAGTAGATCATGCACATTACATTGCATCATATGGATACGGCATAATGTTGTTGACCCGTATAAAATACGCTATGTAGAATCAATCATTTCTTTTATTGTGAGGTTATATCTTGGGTACATACCCTATTCATAGTCGAGAAACTGTAGTTCGGCAAACGCCCCATGCTCATTTAAAAACGATCATTTCTAATAAGCGTACTTATTCAGATAATTTGTAATATCGGAACTATTTAGTCTTAGCACTCTAGATTTTGCAAAACATAAATTGGCACTAAACGTGTGCAATGTACACACACGTACTTTGTATTAGACTACGAAGTAGATTTTTCCCCGTTCTTTTTGCTACATCTTTTTAAAAAAAATTACAAACTTCCTTAATAATTCAGCGAGATAACACGTATTTAAAAGCAGTTGCCTGAGTAAATGTTCATCGTAGCTGTGTTATCTAACCGTTGTCATGTGTGGGGGAGGGGCGCAATCTTCAGCCCGTGCGATCCTCCCGTCTGCGGCGGCTCTCGAGTCCCCTCTCCCTCTCCGCTCTATTTCGCTCGCAATTACAGGCTCGTGGCCCCTCGGTTTGCGCGCTCCCCGGGCGAGCGCCCCTCCCCCTTGATTTCCTCGGAGGCGATTCCGACGCACCGCGCCCTCCCCCACTCCACTCCCCCTTCCAGTTCCCCGCCCCG